CGGGATGAGCCCGACGCCCGTGTCGTTGCAGAACCCGGTTCATCTCGCGCTCTCTCGCGGTACAGCAGGTGTACTGGTCTGCATGCTGACAAAGGGCGTCCAGCCGTTCTTCTCGGCGACGAACTGCAGCCGCGCAAACTGCGTCGCCCACATGCTGCTGGCACCGATGTAGCGCACCTTGCCCGACTGCACGAGGTCGTGGAGCGCCTTCATCGTCTCCTCGAGCGGCGTGCGCGCATCGAAGCGGTGGATCTGGAGGAGATCGATGTAGGGCGTGTCGAGGCGTTGCAGGGACGCCTCGACTTGGTTGAAGAGAGCGGTGCGCGAGAGGCCGAAATTGTTCTGGTAATCTTTCGAGGCCTCAAACTCTGCGCGGTTGACAAAGTGACGGGCCTCTGGTGCTTGGTCAGACAGGGTCACTCGCACTTCACAGCAGACTGGTGACCTACCAGGTTCCTCTCCAACGGCCCAGTGGGCCTTGGTCAGGATGACGACCTTGTGGCGGGGAATGTTGTACTTCTTGATAGCCTTGCCTACAATGACCTCCGAGGCGCCGTTGCTATAAACGTTGGCCGTGTCCCACGTGTTGAGGCCGCGGTCGTAGGCCGCCTTGAGCAGAGGGAGAGCCTCGTCCTCGCCGATGACCCACGGAAGAGTCCTCTTGTCGCCGAAGCTCATGCATCCGAAGATGGGCACAGAGACACGGAGGCCCGACTTTCCAAGCTGGCGATACTCAGCTTTGGAGTTCTCCAGAGACTCTTTGAGCCCGGCCGGAAGCTGCTTCGACATGGTGGGCGTTGGCTTAGAGGCTTTGATGTAGGAGACCGGTTGATATGGGACGAGCACCAAACACTCGCTGTTGCGTTGGACAAGATGCAGATGGGCGAGGAAGATGAACGAGCTTGAGAGGAGAGCTTCAGAATAAAAACTCCCGAGAATAGAGCTGACGCGACCCCGCACCTTTTGTCTGCCCCTCACGGCCGTCAAACGTCATCAACGCCTGAGCTGCCGCAATGTGGGGCCGCGTCTGCGGCTGCCGGAAGTTCACGCCCGGATGACCAAGCTCGGTCTCTGCCATGGCGATCCGATCACTGGGCTTTTATCTCGATTGCCTTGGGTGGATGTGGCTTGGATTGAAATATTCCGACCAGGTTGTGCAAATTTAGTGCTGTGCAACACGCCAGAACCATCATCGAAACTATCACTGGATGCCGGGCTTGGTGGGGCCGTCCCCGGACGGTTGGTGTTTTGCCCGGAAATATAGGCTCGAGTACGCAAGAGACGGAATAACTCACAACGGAAAAGCAATCACTAATCGAACTCTTCTCAGAGTCTAAAGCAATGGCAGAGAGTGTGGCATTAATTTAGAAATTTTCCGGCCATCCATCTCAGCCCTATGCCCACTACCGGAGGTCCCATGGCTCTCGCCCAGGAACAGAACCTTGCCCCTGAACCTGCAGCCGGTCGTTTCAAGCTTCAGCCCTCGCCTTGAGACACGTGGTGCCCCCGGAGCTATGAGAGATTGGAATTCCTTCTCAGCACGGTGCTTAGCCTTGCCATCTTGCCACAGGCAGACTAAGGTCGTGGTGGTGGCCTGAGTTTGGCGAGGTTACCACTCGGATGGACGATGGGCTGGCCCTCACCAATCCTTCACTTGCCGCAGCTACATGTGAGGATCCCAATCACCAATTTCAACCACCTCGGCAATCAAAGGCCATCAGAGTATCGGTGCTGTCGGCATGTCGCCCCCAGGTGACTGCAGACGGCTAAATAGGGAGGCGAACCATCCAAGGGTCCCGTGCCCCGCATGAAACAGTGGAACTAGCAAGTTAGAGCTATACTTGAAGTAAGTTTTTTCCGTGTTGGGAGTTGTATGGACTTGGTCCGTGGGCATAAATCGCCCTTCGTACAAGCGCATAGCTCGATCAGCCCAGTCAATATGCTGCCGTATCCCAAGTTGAGAGTTCGCGACCAGTGGAAATTCTAATAGTTATTTCGCTTCATCAATACAATGTCCTGTTATTTCGTATCCAAATCCTCTTCAATGCTTGAGTACCGCCGTGGAGAGGGTAACATCATTGACTTTTCCATCCCTGCTTTGATCTGCAACCTGCGATGGGGACCCCAACTCTTGAGCAGCCTCACGCGTCGTACTTGGCTTAATGAACTGTATTGTGGCCCGTACTGGATGCATCGTGCCGCTTCTGTCATGTACACCCAAAGAAATGCTCTTTTAGAACATATGGGTCTTGATGAGCTCCATCGATTACAATACCTTATCAGAATATTATTGTAGTCAGGCTCGAAAGGTCCCTTCGCCAGCTCGCCCAAAGAGGCCAGTACCTCATCAAAGCTTCCAGAACTGGAGGAAATAGTCTCGATTGCGAATTACGTCAGAAATTTGCCTTTCGTCAATACGTGTTGCTGGCTTGGCAAATAACGACGCTGCTGTTGACCGTACACCCAACGCTGGCCAAGCTTTGGCTTGATACTGTTTTTAACCCCCTCGAACCTATTCTTTACGCTTGTAAGCGGCTCCACGAAACTACACGATCCGTTGAGTTTTATATGCCGTCATTCTTTGTTGTGAAGTGCACCACGTATACTTCAACACCTTCTCAGGTAGGATTGCTGCCCGGCGTTGTGCGGGCGTGAGATGATGCAGAAGAGCCGATATTGGCTTCGTCGGAGAACTACTTACAAGCTTTGTAGCTAGGTGTATGTTGCATCCTCTCGCGCTATGGCTACCGCAAAACAATGCGTAAGTGAATCAAAAAGGCTGAATTGAAAGTGACATCAAAGCGTTGCAATCTGTCAACGGATGACATTTCGAGTTCAACCCTAGGAGGCCAATGCTTGGCGTCCGTGACAGGCCGCACTGCTTTGGGGGGGAGTCTACCGCAGATACGCATAGAAGTATGATTTTTTAGATAGGGCTGCGTTTATCGGAGGGCATGAATCTTTAGTAGAGTTCTAGCTTTAAACAAGTCGCGCATGGCTTGACAGACAGCCCGGCAAAGGTGCAAATGCTGCGACGTGCAAATCATGGCCAAATGAGACATTCACGGCATAGAGAACATCAGCAGCTTTCGCCCAAGGCGTCTTGTTACATTAATGGGGCATGACTATCATAAGACATTACATCCACCACAGTCCGTCGCACGCGGCATCCTTCCCCTATGACGAGGCAGTGGGCAGGCACTCACACGCTGAGCTGACACGCGAGATGACATTCTGTCCGCAAGCCTTGGACGCATACTCGGGCACGACAGACACGTCAGCGACAAAAGTCTTGGTGAACTCGCCGCAGAACTTCTGGCTCTCCTCGAGACGGCCAGAGATGGTGGAGGCCCCGCATGGCGCGTAGGCAGTTGTCGGCGCTGCAGGCATTGGGCTTGCAGGACTCGCGCTTGGTCATCTTGACGAGGTAGCCGCCACGCTCAATAGTGTTAACAAAGATGTAACCAGACTTGAAGTAAGCGTAGGATGACCATGAGCCGGAGAAGGCGGGGACACCACCGCCAGGAGCGTCATCGTCCTCGGGGTAAATGTCGAAATAGGCGATCTCACACACACCATTACCAGTAGGGTCCTGGGGCACGGAGGAGACGTCGTAGACGCGGACACCGGCGCCGTAGTTGGACTGGTAGATAAGATCGCCGTTGACGTACTGGTTGTGGTCAATGGAACGAACAGAGCCCTTGTAGATGCCCGTCTGCTTGGGGTTCTCAAGGGACTTGATGTCCCAGATGTAAGTGACGGGATATCCATCAGCGGCGGGGCCGGTTGTGCGCTCCTCATCGTACTCGTCATCCATGAACAGCCACTCCTGATTGTTGACGTCGTTGACCCAGCCTTGGTGGGTGTACTCGGCTCCCTCGTACGAGGTGCGGGAGATGATGGTCGAGTTGCGCTTGTCGGTGACATCGTAGCTGCGATGTGTCAGTGAAATGTACTACATAGGGATCAACAGGAAGAAAATGCTTACATGGTGAGAGTATCCTCGTTGTAGCCGTAGCAAATGTCACGGCCGACATATTTGGAATCGGGGCCGCGGTAGATGAGGCACTGCGCATCGTGAACATAGCCATCATCGCCATTGCAGCCCAGATCGACGGGCTTGGAGGGGTCCTTCAGGTCGAAGAAGTGGAGGCCACCCTTGCAACCCTGGTCGCGAGGGGTCACACCGACGGCAACACCGTACTGGGCCTCCTCGTTGATGACGACATTGTGACTGCGGCCCAGGGGCAAGGAGGAGTTGAAGTGACCTGTGAGGTCCTTGTCGTTCTTGAAGATGACAGGGGCATCGGCGGGCTTGATGTCGAGAAGCTTCCTCATGTCAAAGATCTGGATGCCGTTGCCCTGGAGCTCAGAGCCGATGACCATGTAGTGCTTGTAGGAACGGATCTCGGTCCAGTAGGCACGGTCGCTGGTAGGGGCGAATTTGGGCAGGAAGCCAAGGTTGAGCATGCGGCCTTCGGGCAGGATCTCGATCATGGCGCAACCATCGTACATGCCGCTGACTATTGTTTCCATTGTCAGAAACAGCGGCCCAAGATGGGTCATGCGCGCACAACGTACCGACAAATTCACGCTCCGACTCGGGATCGGTCCAGCCCCAGGACGAGCTGCCAGACTTGCCACGGTACTCGCGGCCGAAGGAGCCGAGATCCTCGTGGGAGAGGAAGTCGTGCAGGTCCATGTTCTTGCACTTGAACTTGTGCAGGGGGCTGCCAGGGACGGCCTCGGCATAGCCATTGACACATTTGGTGTAGTTCAAGCGAGGCCACTTGGATGCGTCCATGAGACCAGCGGCTTCTTCAGCCTCCCAGTGGGCCTAAGGGAGTGTCAGTGAGAAGCATGTACTCGTGGTAAGATGGGCCGACGACGACATACAATCTTCTTGGCCATGAGATCCATGTGCCTGACGCCAGAGTCAAAGAGCTCCGCAGCACGATCCTCATCGACGGGGAGCTCCCTGCCCACGACGGCAGTAGCAGCCGTTAGGGCGACAGCAGCAGAGAAACGCATCTTGGGCAGTGAAGTGACAACAGGATGCGATAGCCAAGGATGAAGCAGAGATGGCGCGAGAGATCTCCGGGATGGCACGCGACGTGAAGAGGTCCGGGTTGGAGTTGAGGTTTCGGATGGCGTAAGCAAAGAGATCCCGCGAGAAATGTACAGGACGCGACATGGTATTTATTGTCGGCCCGGTGGTTGTCTCAGGGCTCCAGTTCGCTTCCTCCATGTCGGCTCGGGTTGCGTCGCCGGAGGGGCAGCTGGTAAATTGGGCGGCTGACGGCGGCGACAGCGGGACGCACGGATTCTGCATGATGAGGGAACCATTGGAATAATTTGGAAGGTCTCATGGTGAGCTCTGTCCCGGTCGCTTGGTCTCATGGCGGGCGGCTTCCTGAACAGGCAGGCCAAGAGGTCGCTCGCGCGGTGGCCATAGCACTAAGGGAGGGGTAAGACGCAGGCCAGCTGCGAGGGGAGGCCGGGCCCTGGAGGAGGTTTTCGAGGTATTTCGCCGTGATAAGCTTGCGGGGTGAACCTGAATGGCATGGGGTTTGACAGAGATGGATGGGGTCTTGAGATGGTTGGCATGGTTGGCATGGATGTCGAGAATCCGAGCTTGGGTTCGATCAGGAAGGAGCGTTGAGGATTGCGGGGGGCCAAGGCTGCCAAGCCTCATGGTTCGCCGTTTCTCCCTGTTGCCTTGCCACCAGCACCGATGACAACCGATTATGTGCGCTGTTGATTGGTGGTTTCGGCCAGCCCCTGATTGGATGGCGATCGCTGGGCCCATTGGCGAATCAAGAATCGGGTGGCTTCGGCAGCGTCCGATAAGGTACGAGGTGGCTTGTGGCGCCGACGGCACTTACTTGGGCTTAGCGGTTTCTGGTCAGTCTCATTTCACTGCTTTGCCTCTGTCCTCTGTACCTACATCGTCAGATCTTCGTCGAAAAGTCAAATAACCGGGTACAGATCCTTGCGTACGCCATGCTCGTGAGTCATGCAAGCGTCAACCGCGACGTGCTCCATGTCTTAAGAACTCTGTCGACCATGGGTTTTCAATTGGACCTCCATGAGTCTTGGCCATTACTCCTAGAATATCAACTCCTGATCTTAGAGCAGAACTTTGTTGCTCTTGACAAGTACATATCTGGGTTCAGCGCGAAGGATATGATTCGGACGCCAAACGGAATCATCACAACACATCGACCGGTCCTCTGCACCATCAGAGCTATTGGGCCGCCCCACACAAGCAGACTGAGTTGTGGTCAACCTCAGTCGAAATAACCCTGTCTGAGCAATGCCTCGAGAACCGAAAACATCCAACGGATGAAACGCTTCACTCAAGCCTAGCTCACCTGCCGCAGGTCTAACACTCCTACGCTTACTTAATAACACGATCATCATGCTCGATCGTGGGGAGACAAGCCTCAGAACCCAACCCTAACATGAAGACAACCGCACTTGGTAGCGCCCGGCGCCGGGTCACCACTCAAATGTCCTCACCTTCCATCATCCCCGCTAACCACACTCACAGCGGCTTCTGGCCCGTGATGACCAACACATTGAACAGGGGATGCACCGACTTGTCCTTCGCAGCAGCCCTGACGCCGGCGTTCAGCACCGTCACTTCCTCCTGCCGCCACCCCAACACGTCCCTGAAGAGCGCGGCCGTGAAGCCCTCGACGCCCTCGACAAAGTTGCTGCCCATGAGCGTGCCGCACTCCTTCAGTCGCGGATCCTTGGGCCAGCTGCCGATCGGCAGCTTTAAAGCTCTGCTGCTGGACGTTTTCAAATCCAACGTCGAGCGCCCACTGCTTCATGGATGGCGCGGGGTCCATGGTCCGGCCGATCTTGTCGCACGCCTCCATGAGCCCGTTCATCATGGTGAGCATCGGGTTGTCGGGCTGAAGCGAACCGTCTTCGGAGAGGAGCGTGTTGCCCGACTCCTGAAACTCGACCCAGCCGCCCGGTTTGAGGTTCTGGTAGATCTGCCGCACGAGGCGGGCCAGTCCTTGATGGCGCCAGCCATGTACCGGCAGTGGATGTAGTCGTAAGGCTGTGGCTCGACCCAGTCGAGCTCGACATCGTCGACGTTGAACTT